TTACTTTTATTGTGGAGTAACTCAGTTTGTTTTTGGGAGAAGTAACTAGTAACTATAACTAATTACTTTTTCAATGTAACGTGCCCAACACTGCGAATAAACCAAATCTGAGAAACGGGAATGATGCCAAAATACTGAGCAAGTCGACTCTGTACACCTGAACAGACGCGGCTCCATTGGTCGAGGAAATCAATGAAAGCTCTCCATCTTTTTTCACGATGAGCTGACGGGCTCCTGTTCTCTTTGGTTCCAGGTGTAACGGCTCTTTGCCGTCTGAGAAGGGGAGGAGAAAAAGCCGCTTTTCTCTGTGTCGCAGAAACAAGGCGAATGGAGTGAAACCCAGCACCGTTCACACATCCTGCACGCCTCAGGCCGCCAAGGTGACAGTTCACACATGTTATTTGCATCTCACTGATTAAAGGCCCTGATACTAACATAACTATGGAAATGAGAGAGCACACCTCATCTCTTTCTTTTCTCATCCTCATGTCTCCAGCAAAATTACAACTTCTAATTTCCCTTCAGGATTTTTGAACTGAATGCTTTTAAAGTTTTTTGACGAATCCTTTAAGCTTTAGATGTTTGTAACCGCTCCTGTTTTTCAGGCTGTCAGCAACAAGGAGCAGCACAGCATATCCTACACGCTGTCTCGGGCGCAGACCGTAGTGGTGGAGTACACCCATGACAGCGACACAGACATGTTTCAGGTGGGTAGCGTCGATTTTCTCCTCCCTACTGAGGTTTTCTGATGGGGGGTTATATCAGCTCTGAGATTNGATGTTTCTGACTTAACCATGAAGATATTGCTTCTAAAATATCAAAAAAAGCAGCAGAAGGAAACTGATATGCTGACAACAGTTTTAACTATAAGTTTCGGTTAGGTGGAGATTTTTTAGACTTTTTATTTGCAGACTTTTTATATTTACACATTATTTTCCAGTCTAGGGCTAAAAACAACTCTATTAATTTCGATGAATCGATTATTGAAACAATAACCCACTAATTTTGTAATCTGTTAATCGTTAAATGGAATATAGAGACTCTAAAACATTCCTTAAGTCGACAGAGAAACCCGCTTAGAGCAGTAATTATATCAACATTCTGAAAACCTATATAAACATTTTGAATTTAAGATTTTTAAAAAAAAGTTTTCTTCTCTCAATATGCTCATAATTTGTTTTAGTTTCACCTGGTTTAACTTTGTTAAAAACAATCTTCTTTAAGGAATCTTTCGCTATCTGATTATTAATTGAAAAATAATCGACAGATTCATCGATTTGCAAAATAACCATCAGTTGCATCCCTAATCCAATCCTCTGTCCAGATTTAAGTTTTCTCCTGAAACCAACGCATTCATGGGAACCCTCTGCAACAGATGTGTTTAAATTTAAAATAAAAAAAAAATAGACTAACTATAACCTTAAAAAGCATCTCAACCGCGTGATACTGCGGGCCTGTTTCTCTTCCAATGATGCTA